CTCCCTCTAGCGCCATCATCCATTAAATTCTTAAGTATCTTGGGTATTTCTGATCTCTAGTGCTATTCCAAATTCTATTTCTCTATCAGAATACACCAGGGTATGGAAGTTTTATATATTTTACTATGTGTTGGGGGAAATTTTCCCTTTTTAAAAACTCGTAAGTTTCTTAGCTTTGTGTTCATTTTCTTTTATCAACTGTACAGTTATATTTTCAAGTTGCCAAAAAGAAATCCCATTGATTGGTACAAATGTGAATGCCATCTACCATTAGCTCTCTTCATACGCATAGGTCTGGTTTTCCCATTCGGGGGCATGGCATGTCTTTCCAGTCACCTCTATTCTTTCTAACATTCCTTGGTCAAGTTCTAGTTCGTTATTTTTAGGAATTTTATGGGCTTTTTGGAGGGGGATCTATTTCCTGTTTATTGTTAACATGTAAGAAAACTATTGATTTTCAATAGTTGTCCCCCATGTGAAATTATTCTAACAGTTTCTCAGTTGTTCCTCCTGGGTTTCCTGAAAAAAAATAGTATCTGCTTCTCATTTCTAATGTTTCTAATTATGTTCTCACTTCATTTTTTTACATAATTGCGCTTCGTGAACAATGCCAAGGAACGAGGATGGAGGTCACCCTGTGCTGTGCCCCAATGTAATGGGTATATTTCTAGAAACAAATTAGTTCCTTACGTTTGCTTTCTAAATTTAGTTTACAGACTGGGCACAGTGGCTCATGCCTGTGATCCCAGCACTTTGAGAGGCCAAGGTGGGAGGACTGCTTGAGGCCAGGAGTTAAAGACCAGCCTGGGCGACACGGCAAGATCCCGTCTCTACAAAAACATACAAAAATTAGCCGGGTGTGGTGGCACGTGCCTGTAGTCCCAGCTACTTGGGAGGCTGAGGCAGGAGGATCGCTTGAGCCCAGAGTTTGAGGCTGCAGTGAGCTATAATGATCCCACTGCACTCCAGCCTGGGCAACAGCGTGAGATCCTGTCCCTAAAAATAAATAATTTTTAAAAATTTAGTTTACAAAAGCATTTGACTAATAGGAAACCTGTACACACTACGAAAAAATTTACAATGTCCACAAACTAGAAATTATTCTTAGCAATGACTGGCCACCAATGACTGCCAGAGCTCATAACATAAGCTACTTCTAATGCCCCTGTCAGAGGCCTGCATGTGGAAATAGTGTCTGCTCCTGTGCTCTGACCAGAAGTTTTGTCGGTAGAGCTGAGGAGGGCAGCAATGACTGGGCCCTTGGTTCCTAATTCTAGTCCTGCTCACGTGGCTCCTTGTCTGGCCTGCTACTGTCTCCTGGGTAGTGAACAAGCTCATGAGTTAGATATAAAAAAAAAAAAAAGCTATGTACAATGTTCTTGTAGATTACAGTAAGGTGACCTGTCTTAGCCAGCAATCCCTTGCACGAGTGGTATGAAAGTACAGCAGCCGTACTGTACTCAGAAGTTCATCATGTTTCAGGACACTCCATCACTTGATAAGCTTATTTACACAGCTGGCTCCATTTGGCACTAATAACAGGAATTTTTAATGAGTTTCATAGGGAAAGGACACCCACACTCACACAGGATTTGAGGGTTTTCTTCCACATGGGTTTTAAAAAATTTGGTTTCAGCACATTTCTTCATTGAGCTTACAGAAACAAACGAAGCACTGGCAAGCCATGGGACTCTTCAATGAAAATGTATTTCACATTAAACACAATGTACACATCATGCAGACGAGGCATCACCATGGTCACAATGGTGCTGTGAGGTAAAACAGATCACAAAACAGACATTTAGCAAAATAAAGCTATAAGAAAGATGACAAGGCATTTTTTGAAAGTCAGACCATGCTACCATTTTTTTGTGTGCTTGTCACAAAAGGGATTTTCCCCCTGATATTCATCAAGATCAATGGCACTGCATTATTTGGAGGCATATATTTTATTTAGTATATACACATACACATACACAGTTTCCATAACTAATAAATTCTTAAAGTGTAGCTGGCTTTAAAAGCACATGAACAAGATTACTATTGAGACTTCTTTATATCTCCTGGTTGCAAACCTCTCCCAGAATTATGGAGCTTTCTAAACCCTTAATTGTACAAGTCAAAACAAAAAGTGTCAAAGAAGAAAAGGTTATTTTAATCTGAAAGTCACATTTTGCCACGAGAAACAAAATTAAGAAAACACACCGTTATATGGCATAAAATGTGTCAAGTATACATTCTAGTGTCATTTTGTCCCCCCTTCAAATTTTTTTTTATGTTAAAGCCTAATAAAGTGACATACTGGGTCCAATTTGGAGCCCCTTTGTCCCAGAGCACCATGATTTTCATTTGTGCCTGGTTTTCTTACAGTTGGGCAAACACGGGAGCAAACACCGAAAACTTCCAAGATCCAGTAGAAAAACAATAGCAAGAACATGAAAACCAACCAGCTGCACGCGAGACACCCGATTCAGACTCATTCAGTCAGAAAGCCACTCTGTGGTTTGGAGTGACCACAGTATGGAGAGTTTAAGGTGTGACATGAAAGGGTCCTGGCTAGATTCAGTTGCCCACGTATAAAGGAATATGCAGGAGAAAACAGAAATCATTACACACTGTTTTTACTTCCTTACTCAACCAAACTTACTACCTTAACCCCAAAAGAGTAATGTGGGGCAATGCATTTGCAGGCCGCAAGGCTTCATAATAACAAGAGGCTTCTTGATAGTACCCTCCAGCAGAGAAAGGGGGGACTCCTGAATTTCTTCTCTTTCTCAACAAAGACAGGGAGATATGCAGCCCAGGTTGAGTATATGTTTAACTAGAGATTGGGTAAATGTCTAGATTATTTTATAGGAAAAGACATCTAGATGTTCATGTGTGCCAACTTTGGGAATAAGAATGGTTGTAAAGTGAATTTCCGAGCCAGAATCACTCAGCTTATTCAGAAGGTCACTATGATAATAGAGAAGTATAGGAAGTGCTTTGTCAGCGGCTGAAGCTCATCAAGAGAACTGCAAAATGAAACTTTGCTAAAGCCCACCAAGGCGAAAGCCTCAAGGTTTCTACCAAGAGTGGCCAGTGTTTGACATACTACCTAGGAATACAGTGACATTCTGCTCTAATAACTTGGAAGCCAGCGGTGAAGGGCGACAGAAGCTTCAGGTGGCCAGCAGCCTGGATCTGACCACTAGCAGCTGCATGGGTTCTCCAAACACCACCTGTGTTAATTCAAAAACACAACCAGGTGAGAGCAATGAAAAACACCAAGTATTTTCCAGCATGTAGCATCTATTCTTGCACTAAAATGATCACATGGTGTGGTACTTTCTACCTTCTTGGTAATTGCATTTTCCTTGGCTCATACGGTATTTCTCACGGAAGTGCTACGGTGTTTTGCACAGGACTATTCTTATAGGTGGCTCAAATTTTCCTTGTATGGGACTTTCCCGAAACCTGCAGATGTTTAACGCCTCCAGCTTTGCCTTCCAAATTCCCCAGCCACTGTGACAACAAAAACCACCAACATGTTTCCAAACACCCCCTTGTGGGGGTGGTGCCACCTTTGGTTGAGAAGAATTTGAGAACTAGACCATATCTCAAATGAAAATATACAAGCAGGACGAATACAATGATTTAGTCAAGATTTTTTTTTTTTTTTTTAGACAGGGGCTTTGCACTTCTTTCAGTTAGAGATGCAAGAATAAATGTGAGGCCTATGAATATTCTCACAGGTTTCATGGGTTTTCTGGTCCTGACTGGATAGTGAGACAAGTGAACTGAAGGGAAGCTAATCAAGTCAAGGTCGCTAACAGCAACAGACACCTCATAATAAATATTAAGCCATGTAGATGTCAGGGAAGTAGAATGCTCAGGCGAATTAGTGTTTTAAGTGTCCAAGAAGGCAGCTGCTCTTCCAAACCAGGGATACATTAATAGTTTATTTTAAAAGTGACCTGCCATATACCCGAGAACCAAGAGAAGCAGAGTCTCCAGCTTGTCATCTACAGGCAAGAGCTAAGGTCAAGTAGAAATAAGTAGACAAATCACAGTGACCTCGGCCATGTGGCCTCTCCAACCTGTTTTTTCATATGAGAAATAAAAAGGTTGCACTAAATCATTTCAGGCATTGAATTTCTGTCAGAGTGGAATATCATAAAAAAATAAAATGGCTGAGAAAATGCTGAGAATATAAAAATGTTTTTGAGAGTCTAAAATAGGAGGAGCAATTGGAATTAAGTTATGAGAGGATTTGGTGGCAGATTCTAATTATGTTTTCGTTATTCAAAAACAAGCCCCCAATTAAAGTAAATCAAATGTGAGGTATATATAAGTATGTGCACATAACTGCACTTAGAGTGCGTATAACCCATAGATAGTCTTACTCAAATGAGAATAGCTTCTAGAAGCACTTTGGCAAGAAAAAAGTCCAAAGGTGGGAGAAAAACCTTCAGGGCACCAACTGCAGTTCTTCTCTACCCCAGGTGTGATCCAAGAACAGATGTCTGCTTTGGGAGCATCCAGAATGGGTCAACAGGACAGCAAATCATTTGGCCCAACACGATATATATAAATGATTCTAGATAGAATGTGGGATGCCATTCCGTAAAACTGGGGGTGGGGGGGATTCATTTTACTAACACTGTCTTGTAACACTATCAGAGCATGCCTCCTTGCCTCTAAAAAGGGTGCTACCCAGTAAAAACTTCAGCCAGTGCTTCTCAACCTTCCCATCCACACACCCCAAACAGCAGGGGTAGGACAGGGCAGAGCACGGCCGCTGAGGTCTCACATATGAAGGAATTAATTGAAATTCATCTCAGTTCTTGTGTGTGCTGCAGTATACACCATAATATATCTGTGTTTGCACTTTTCAAATAAAACTGACCATCCAGGAGCTGAGTGATGTATATCCTATCTTCACACAACCCAGTTAAAGAGTTATGGATTTAGAATATCATCAAAAGACTGTACCTTTCATTAGAGGGGTGCTGTACTTGTCAACAGAAGGTGTCGAGAGCGGTCTCTTGGCCAGGACTGTTAAATCCTTCGATGAGGTTTTTGTTACAGTCATCCAAGCTGAGGTTCTCACTGGATCTCTTGGGGAACGTAGGGGGGCCAGTGAAATCTAGGAGATCTTGAAGCGCTCGGGCATTACCAGTTCCATTTTGGTCCAGAGACACCCCAGGAATCATTTCACTCACTGGTGAAAATTCTGGGATGGAGATAAGCTCTTCTTTTGAAACAGGACTAGAAGAGATGAGAGACAGAGACAGAGACACAGAGAGAGAATCAATACGAGGACTAAGCCCAACATATTCATTGTCTTTGCGATATTTTGTCATACTACTTTTCTAAAGAGATGGATTTAGAGTCAGAGTTTATGTGTGACGCATTGTAAAAAAATACAAGCGAGTTCAAATCTGAGGACAGACGGTGGACACAAGGCCCTCGCAGATGGAAACAGGGAAGTGGACTGAGCAGGGCTGTGATGGCCGAGCTCACGCTGTCCAAAGGATGAAAGGCAAAAAACCCACGGGCATTGGCACTCTACTACAAAGAAGCAGGGCAATTCCAGGACTTCCAGAATGGGACATTCAAACAGAAGGCAAATGTTGAAAGCTCAAAGTGAGCTGAGGAAGGGCCTAATTGACACTGGGGTTCCTGGTGCTGCCGCCTTGCAAGCAGTGCCGCCTTGGGCAAGCTGCTTCCCCCGCCTCGTGGTCCCACAGTTTCCTTCCCTTTAAAATGAGAAGAACAAATGTTTCTCCCTCCCAGGGTTCCTAGGAGTGTGATATGATCATGCGGGAAGAGTTCACATGGAGCTACCTGAAGTAAGTGCTTGGTTAAGGTTGGGGGACCCCCACACCACCCACCTAGTCACGTGCGAGACTCTCATCTACTGCTTCCTCTCTAAAGAGAGGCTGCCAATCCACCCTGACTTTCCAGCTCCCGCCCAGCCACGCCTAGTCTTTTTCTCTCCCCCCTCTCCCTAGAGATAGAAGGAGTTTCATCCTCGTGTCAGCTACAGGCCTGGCAAATGAGCAAATGCAGGCTCAGAAGAGTGGTGGGCTGAGGGCCTGGTACCAGGAGTCTCTTAACAGCCAGAGCAAGGCTGCTGCCAGGTTCTTTTTTTCTATCTTGATGAGATCTTGCAGAAGAATCTAGAAAAAACAGTTGAACTGCAAAAGCTCAGAGGAGCTGTCTCTGGTGGAAATTCATTCTCCAGAGCTCCCGTGGGACCAGCTGAGACTGCATCCTTGCTTAGCAGCTTCCCTCCTTCTCCTTTCTCCTGAAGAACTCCTGAGAGTTCTCCCCTAATAAATCACATGCCCTAGAAACTCTGTCCCAGGCTCTGCTTTTAGAGAACCCAGCCCAAGACCCTGGTGTTATACTACTGATGCTTTCCTGTCATGTCAACCAAACCTGCTTTAGGTGATTTGGTTGTACAGAAGATGAAGAAACTAACTAAAAGGCAGTGGTGGTGTCTGGAGAAGAGATGAGGCTTAAATGCAAAAGAAACAGATATACCTCACATCCATAGACTGAACTTCTTCGGTTGAATCATCCAGACTGTTTGATTTCCCATCAAGGGCATCCAGATGAACAAGTGCCCCAACTGGTTTAAGCCCATTAGAGAAAATGTCTCGGGGAAAAGTTTCCGGGGCGGCGTGCCCCACACCATTAACTTCCTGGCAGGTGTTCAATCCATTGATTTCTGATCGAGAACACAAAGTCCTCGTGTTAATCATAAAATATCCAAAACAATGAAATAACAGGACATTTAGATCAAGGCAATTAGGTTAATCTTCTGCTTCACCAATAATGCAACATCTTTTGTGGAAAGAACCATGAATAACCCCATGTAATCACTTAAACACAGGGGAAAAGAAGACAAATTACATTATTAGCATCTGCGTGGAAAATCTGTAGAAGAGCAGAGTCAGGTCTTGATAAAACCTGACCAGCAGTTAAGCTCCCTGAAAAGCACCATGAGCCAGCAGACAGCATGCCTCCTACACTGGAATTACTGGAGTAACCAAGGAACCTAGGGATTTCCCAAATGGAGCTGATAGACCTTGTGCTGGAGAGACACTCCCAGGGAAGGGAAACCACACAGGCCCCCGCCAGCAGTCGCCCTGTTGGGACTCACGGGTGTTTTTCTCCTGTGGGAAGTTTTATGAGCTCTTGCTGCTAAAAAGAAGAACCCAAGAACCAGAGCTCACGCTCACCTATTTTGTTGGGGACAACTGGTTTTGTCTTGTTTTCCACACACACAGCAGGCTGAATAATCACTTTGGGGTCTTCTTTCTGAAAACAAATAGAGGGTGAATGAAAAGAGGAAAGGTTGGTATCACATAGAAAAACAAGTGCTTCTAAAAAGCAAGGACATTTGGAGCCCTTCTGGACCATCTGCCTGTTGTGTGGCAATCCTATGAATCCTCAGTGGTGTTTCCCTTATTACACCACCATTCTCTTTTGTTCATGGACTGCTATGCCTCTCCCTGCATCCCCACTCCCACTGCTCTAAGAGAATCTTTTACCTGCCCAACCTCTGAAATTCCTCTTTCCTTTCTGGTACCCACACCCTCCTTAACCTAGCCAGGAACAAAGCAGGAAGAGTCCATTTTTTCTGGTTAATCCTCTCCATGACCTACAATTTCATTGAATATTCTGCTGTTCTTTTCTGTTCAGCACACAAACTATTAAAATGATCATCTGAATTCCTACCTTCACTTCTGGAGACACATCACTCTTCCTTGTTCTCTTCATGATTTCATCTATTCTCTGGAAACCAAAAGGAAATCAAGTGAGAGGACTGAGTATAACATCAAAAATATATAAAATCAGCTGGGTCTATACGCAATTTCACATTTCTCAGAGAACTCAAGACAAATGTCAGCAGAGGATAGCAAGTATAAAAAGGTTTTCCATTGGTTTTGCAGATGTACAGCTCTGGCCCTATGAACAAGGTCAATGCTTGAGAAGACAACTAGTCCATATCTAGAATCAACATTCAATTTACATCCCATTTTTCTCCTTCTTCTCCTTAGGTTCCCTATTAGTCAACAAATCACCACTCATCATTAAAGAGGACCACCCTACAGAAAGCAAGGCTGAAGTGCAGCTCAGGAGGGAAGGGTACAGGCTGGTCTCCTGGCTCCCAGGCCAAACCTAGAACACCATGAGAATGGACCTTTATAATAAGCCTCCTTAAACCCAACTGTATCCATGAGTACATTAAGTGTAAATGGACTAAACAATCCAATTAAAAGATAAAGACTGTCAAATGGGATTAAAATAACAAGTCCTGACTATATGCTGTTTACAAGAAACACACAAGAACACACAGAGGTTCAAAGTAAAAGGATGGAAAAAGATTTACACTAATCATAAAATGCTGCCAAATCAGACTTTAAGATAAGAAATATTACTAGAGATAAAGGAGGGCATTTCACGATAAAGAGGTCAATTCAACAGAAAAATTTAACAACCTGCAATGTATCACCTATCTAATAGGGTTTCAAAATATGTAAAACAAAACTGACAGAATTAAAAGGAGAAATGGACAAATCCATAATCACAGATGGAAATTTTAACACTCCTCTTTTAGTAACCGATAGAACAAGACGACAAAAAATGAATAAAGATATAGAAGATTTAAACAGCACTATCAATGAACTTGACCTAATTGACAATTCTAAGAGCACTCTACCCAATCACTGCAGAACAGAACTGGATTCCCTTCCTGTTCCTATCTTACCCTAAGTGCTCCTATTTCCTCATCCCTTACCTTCTTCCTCTCCAGTCGCTCCTGCTCAATCTGCAGCATGATCTGTTCTCTTTCCAGACGCATCTGTTTGGCTGCCTCCCGGGCCTTCGTTTCTGTTGCTTCCTTCTGACAGAAATAGGTTAATCAGGCCACGAGCTTTACTAAGCTCGGAAAACACTGTAGTAATTCCCTGGGCTTTGCACATGTTCCTTCTTCTCATCATCTTCCCCAAAGTGGATGCTGCTCCAATATTCAATGTGGATTTATACAACCTGCTCTATGACACAGCAGATATGGTTGGGCCTCATTCATATACCCTCAGTCCACCATGCGAATCACCTGCAGACAGTTCCCACACATGGCCAGGGTCTTTCTGTGTCTGTGGGCAGGCTCTGGCCATGAAGTGTGCATATGGCCAGAAGTTTCAGGGAGTTAACTTCCCAAAGGAGAGACCTTCCACAATGAGTGGCAGAAATTGGTAGATAAATAGTCCTGTTTCCTCATCCCTCAGAGAGGGATAATTCTAAGGCATGATCCAATCTCTCAGAAGGTCCCAATGGGATTGAGTTCCCATCGTCCACAGCAAGACACTCATCAATGCACTTATATTGGCTTTTCTCCCTGCCAGCTTCCTGAGATCTCACCCCAAAATAAACTACTGGCACCCAAATTCTCATCCCCAGGTCTCCCTCTGGAAAAACCCAAACTGACAGATGGCAAACATTACCAACTTCACTGTGACTGTCCCAAGCAACTTATATTTACTAATCAGCCCAGGTAATTTAAGAAAAAAACTTCAATATTATGAGTCATTAAAATTTAACTAATTTTACCTAATATTAATTAAGGCCCTTCAAAATGAGGAAAGTCTATGTGAGGACTTAAACAGTACCTGCTTTCCAATCATGGCTTTCTCTTGCTTTTCTTGGTCTTGCTTTTCCTTTTCTTGCTTTTCTTTCAACAGTAGCTCCTCCTCAGCCTTTCGCTTGGCCTCCTCTCCTGCCTTTCTTTTCTCTTCCTCTTCCTGCCGCTTCTTTTCCTCTTCCTGCTGCTTCCTTTCTTCTTCCTGCTTACGGGCTTCTTCTTCTAGGCGAAGCCTTTCCTCCTCTGCCTTTCTTTTCAATTCCTCTCTCTCCAGCCTATTGAGAACACGATTGTTGTTGGAAGAAGAAGACACGCTCGAATAGCAAACTGCCAAAGAACAGTGTGCTGACAGCAGAGAGTAATGCTCTACATGTTAATAAATACATGCATTTGAATTAGGACCCACATAATAAAACAACTCGTCCTTCCTGGAAATCCACTCCAGTCCATACATTTACCAAAATACATTACCCAGGCCTGACTTTAAATTCTGTAATACAACGACTAATGATGCATTGATTTGTGAAGCATACTATAGTGAAGACACAGATGCTCCTTAGTCAATCTACAAATAACCACAATGAGAGAGGAAGCCAAGCCTCATCATTCTTATTTAATGGCAATTCTTAAAAAAATGAAAAACAAAACCTAAGTAGAATAAATATTTAAAACCAACTAAAAGCTAGAAAAAATGGGAAGTGTTTCAATGGCCACAAATGTGCCAGTCAGCATTTTAAAAGCAGTGGGTATGAGCTTAAAGAGTTCACTTTGGGTTCTAATTGGTATGTGACTTTTGAAGCAGTATAAGGAAGAAAATGCTCAACAGAAATTTCACATTTAATACAGAAATTAAAGCATCTATTTTCCATTTATCTTGGCAATTTTTAGAAATATATTTTAGCTTTTACTCTTTGCTATATGAAAATGAAGTGTCATTTAGACATTTGCATCCACAGACAGATGAATGATTCATGATAAAGAGCTCTAGCAGTGAGGGAAAATTCTATGAAGTCTAAGGGCTTGTTTTAACACTTCTAATGTTCCTGCTGCTCACATGCACATCACTTTCCTTGAGTAATCACTAGCAATGTCACATATGGGCAAGACCCAAATTGGATTATGATTGTGCCACTCGCTGTGTGACACTTGGAAAGTCACTCGACATTTCTGATGCCCATTGTAAAAATGGGAATAGCCATACTACTGCTCCATGAAATTATTGTGAGAATTAAATGAGATAATACATGGGAATGCCTGGCCCTAGAAAATTCTCAAACGTTAGTTTGTTTTACAATTTAAAATGAATCCTGCCTCCAACTCCCAACATCCTTTTAGGGACATCTTTAAATCTGTATCTCTTTTAGAAGTTACCTTCATTTAGAAGCATGTGTCACTGACTTATGGGGGTGCTATTATACTGTTATAAAAAGATCAAAACTCTAAAAGAGCACCCTTTCTTCCTAATGGTCAGCTTCACGAATTGTGGAGGCTAATAGCCTATGCATCACCAAAGAATTATTTTAAAAGGTAAAGAAATATTTAAAGATATTAGCCCAAGACTGTAACAGTACATGATAACATACTCTACGTTAGCAGAGGATGCAGTGCCTAAAAGCGCCGTGAAACAACTGAAATTATTAACAGCTATTCTGGAGAAGAGCATTATGGGACCTAGTCAGAAAGAAACTCCCATTTTCTTAGATTCCTCAATGAAAGACTAAGCATATTCAACACAAGATTATCAAAAATGGACGTGTTGGTAAGATTTATCCAAAGGTTAATCAGAGCACTGTTTCACTTAATATCCCTTTCTAAGGAGCCAGTCGTGATTGTCCCAGAGAAGTTAATATACAATGGATACACTGTATATGAATTAACATACAAGCTACTTCACAAAGGACCTGTTACCTTCATCTTCAGGATCTGAAAATCCACTAGCTCTTCCATTTTTATCATCAGGACTTCAGAGGTCCCCAGATGCACGCACATAGGAACATCCTCGTGGCCCCTAAATCTCCATAATTCTCATTATTGCCAAAACCAGAAATTCTTCCCCACAGGCCCATTAGCCCCAGCTTGTTCTTTTCATAGTACCTCCATGAAAATCTCATCCTCTTACAGACAAAATTCCCTCCTTTAACTATACTTTGCTTCCCCCAAAGTAGATACAAACTGGCAAAAATAAAAAGCTGGCTTCCCCCACGTGAAACTGGGTCCTTCACAATCCTCTCCAAGGATGAGCATTCTTTCTCTCTGTTTGAGGAAGCAGAGAGAACATTACATTTCATCATTCTCCCCACTAGCCCTCTGCTGTAGGCCGCCCCTGGCCCTTCGCCCTTGCCATCATTTCTAAGTTGTCTCCAGAGTTCACTAGACCTATGCACAGTTCTGTCACCCTCTCCATCCTTGTTTCAGTTGTCCACCCAAGCCCATCCCCCATTCCTCACTAAACAGAAAGTACCAGAAAACTGTACATCACTGTCATCATTTGACATTTAATGGAAGCATCCTTTGTTCTTGTCACTAGCTATTGGTGAGGATCTTTGTATACTGGCCTGTCTCAACCTCCAGCACCTCACCCCCTTTTCTGTCCCACCCTGTCACACCTCACTCACATCACTGACATGTGCTCAGCCTTGAATTGTTCAATCTGATGGACAAGTGTGTGGGTTTCACTGTTCTCTATTCTTACGTGTTAAACGTTTTCATTAATAAGAAGCTTAACCTTTAACATTAACCTTCCTTGCTCTGCTGTCGCCCCATCCTCCCGCCCCTTTCTCTCCTGCCCTGGCCTGCTTAGCGCCATGCAGTCAGCTTGCAGCTGCTTCCCTCTCCTCTAGGTGCCTCCCAGGCCTCCAATCCCCACCTGAGCATTTCCGAGATGGCATGGAGGTCACTCTGTTGCCCAACTCCAGACGTGGCCCCCAGGACCATTCATGTCCCTCCTGGGCTGCCAAGCACTGGTCAGAGAAGGGTGCAAACAAGTCTGACCGGTCACCTGCCCCTCTGTCCCGGCTGCCACATTACGGCCTCTTAATCCTCACCCCCTGGACATAGTCCAAATTGCCACCTTTTCTCAATCTTCGTCATCCTTCTTAGTTGATAGCATCACCAACCACTTTACAGAGCAGACTGGGGGCACCTGATCTGAGCTTCTTAAACTTCTCTCCTCTATGGCATTACTGCTCAGAAATTTCCCCTTTTCTTCCTCCACTTAAATGCAAGGGATCGTAAGTGCCATAACTCATGCTAGGAATCCCACACCCTCCCGCAGCTCCATGTTCCTCCTACGAGCTCCTCTTCCTTCCAGTTTCGTCCTTCTACACGTACCTTTCCAAGGCCTACAAAAATGCTCTGGTCTTGGCCATCCCGAGCAACCCTCCTCGGTCTTCTCCTGCCCGCCTCCCACTGTGACCGCTTCCCGGCCAGCTCATTCGGGACACCTGCCCCGCTCCTCTTAAAGCTACTATGTTCCCATCCCTCTTCTCAACAATTTCCCTCCAAAATCTCTGTTCATCTTCTAAACCCCACGACCAACAGCCTTTCTTCAGCCTTCACATGTCTTGTAGGTGTCAACAGCATCAAGGGGCCCTCCCATCAGGCTGCAAGGCCCTGGCTCCCTCCGGCCCCTCTGGCTCTCCCTTCCCGCCTGGGCTGCCACCGTACCCTGCTGCCTCACGTCAAATGAACCCCTGCATGTCCTCGCTCTTGCCAAAACAATCTGTCACCTGGAGGCTCAGCCAGCGAGAAGCCAGGTCTGAGCAGCGCCGAAGCCCTGTGCCTGTGGTCCCAGGGCTGGGGCTAACTCTTGCGTGAACACCAAGCTTCAGCCTGGCTACGTGACCTTGCTCGTGGGGCTGCCTTACTGGAATATTCTTTTATGTGGGTCCCTAGCAGCTATTTTAGCTTTTTAATATGACTTGATAATAATCTATTTTGGAATCCCAGTAGGAGCTCTTGCTTGCTGGTTTCTGCGAGTGCCTTCCCCAGGGTGGGCCTGGGGTCCAAGGTTTCTTGCCCCAACCCTAAGAATCCACTTTACATCTTGGGCCCTCCACACCCCAGGGGCTGGGCCCTGCTCTGTGTGGGAATGGACCAGCTTTTGTCTTTCTGCTTAGGGCCTGCTTGCCTGGACTCCTGGCTGACCTTCTGTGCCCAGTAGTCTCCCCCTCCCTGACTTGGATGGTGTTTCCCTCACTGGTTTGTGACAATAACTGGGCTTTCTATGGTTGGGCTCAAGGATCTTTATTTTTCTCTAGATTCTCTCATCTGGCAACCAAATTTCTGTGGCTTTAACTATGGGCTAAGCACAAAACAGATGTGAGGAGGATCTTATTCCAAGAGCTGTGCTGTGTCCCAGCCCCAGGCTGCGTGCTGCCTTCCTCTGTCACCTCCTGCCTGGCTCTACGCAAAGCTTCATATTCGGCAAGAGACAGGAAAACCGATTTGGGGTCAAGCGTGTTGCTCTCATTTTTACCTAGGCCCCAGGCTTTAATTCCATGTCCAATCACTTAGACATTTTTCAGGCACCATAAGCTTATCTAAAATCAAATGGATAATTTTTATCCTTTAAAACAAATTCCTCATGTCCTTCCTTTATCTGTTATTGGGTGTACCATTCTCCTAAGGCTTTAGAATTAAACCTTAGCATCAACCTCAACTCTGCCCAGTCCTTTTGAGTTGTGCTAGTCCACAGACTCGCTTTTCCAGGTCTGCCTTTACCATGCTACTTCAGCCCTTGTGTTCTCTTAACCTGCTAATGTGATGGTTTCTTCCTTGGGCTTCTTCCTCCACTTTTCCTTTCTCATACGTGTACTGAACACCAGCCTTTTACAGTGCTAACTATGCGAAAATGGGCCTGTAAACAAATGAGTCTATGTTAGTCAGCTGAACAGCTAGGCTCAGTCAGGTACAGAGTGGGGGGTGCTCAGTTCTCTCCCAGGCACAGGTCCAGAAAGGCTACAGAGAAGGAGCGAAGTTTGACCCACATCCTGAGAAAGGAAGAGGTGTCTGGCAAGAAGGCGCATGAGTCTAGGTGGGGGCACAGTAAAAGCTAAGCTCTGGAGGTGCGGAGCCGTGCGATGGGGGAACGGCAGGGAAATCTGCGTGCAGGTGTCCGGGAAGAAGCAAGGGGAAGAGGCAGGTAGTGGCTGGTTCACGGCAGGCCTTGAAGGCCTATTGGCGGGTTTGGGCAGATCCTGTGGACAGGGGAGTCACTGGCTTGTTAAAGGACAGGATCAGAACAATCACACTGATTTGAGAAAGGTCACTGTGGACTCAGTATGGACAGGGGACAAGCTCCAGGAGCAAGGAGCTCAGCTGGGATGCCACCGACACGGCCCACGTCAGGGTAACAGGGGCCGGAGCTCAGGCAGGAGAGGAGGGGCTGGAGGGGCAGGGAGAGAACAGAGATGCTAATGGACCTGGCAACTGATGGGACATGGAGGAGGAAGGAAAGGGAAGAGCTGAAGGTGGCACTCAAACTTCTGACTTAGGTGCCTGGGGAGATGTGGGTGCAGAGCTTGTGAAGGGAAAAGGAAATTTGGGAGAAAGATACAAAGTTCTGCTTTGGGTCTGGGCACGGAGGCTCATGCATGTAATCTCAGCACTTTGGGAAGCTGAGGTGGGAGGATCGCTTGAAGCTGGGAGCTGGAGGCCAGCCTGGGCAACATAGTGAGATCCTGTCTCTACAAAGTTAAGAAATTAGCTGAGCATGGTGGCACATACCTGTAGTCCCAGGTACTTGGGAGGCCGAGGCAGAAGAATTGCTTGAGCCCAGGAGTGTGAGGTTGCAGTGAGCTATGATCATGCCACTGCACTCTAGCCTGGGTGACAGAGTAAGACCTTGTCTCTAAAAATAAATTAATTTTTTTAAAAAAGTTCTGCTTTGGAAATGCTGAATTTGAGACACATATGGACACACTCAAATGAAAACATAGGCAATTGGTAATCTGGTCTCTAAGTTTTAGACGAGCTATCCAACAGAACTTTCTGTGATGAGGAAAATGTTCTGTAGATTTGTGTCATCCAATATGGTAGCTACAAGCCACATGTAGCAATTGAGCACTGAAATGTGGCTAGTTTGCCTAGGGAACTGAATTTTGCCAAATGTCCATTTTGGTAGCCACATGTGCCTACAGGCCATGGTACCAGACAGCACAGCCATAGATGGAGCCCAGGACATAGGCACCATTTCAGGAGTCATCAGTACACATGTGTTATTTAGTGCCTTCCTTGTTCCAGAAAGTATAGAAGGTTCACAAAGCAAGCTGCAATTAGCTTCAGGAACAGATGATAAAACGAGGCAGAGGGAAACTGGCAGCATGGTGGGGACCTGGCAGAGCAGGAGGGAGCAACGCTGTGGAGGGCTTGTCAGGTGAGAAGCTGATCAAGGACTGAGCGCTGAGAGCCCAGGCGACAGTTAAGGGGAAGAGGAGTGAACAGAGGAGGCTGTGACGGAGAGTCTGCCAGAGAAGCAAGGGCAAGCTCGACAAGGTCAAAGACAACCAAGAAATCAATCAGGAGTCTGGCAATGAGGAGGAACGGTGGCATGAGGTTTGAAGACTGAGTGTAAGTTAAGGAAATAGAGACAGGAAGGTCAATCAATTCTTTCAGGAGCCGAGCTGTGAAGGAAATGGGAGAGAGAGAGAGGGTGGGAGCTGGAAGGTAAAGAACTTCACCTCCCTACGCACACGGCTACAATCATGCTACTCACCAGCTCAGAGCCTGCACAGCCTCTCCCCGGCCTGCAATTACCAAGGCCTGTCATTTGAGGTCCTACGATTCACCTGCAGCTCCTGCGACCTCCCTTCACACACCCTATGGTCCAACCAAACTAGCCCAAACACGCCACTCGACAAAAAATCCTGCTGATATTAACCAAAAGACCGGAGACTGGAAAATAATCAGAGAAGTCCAGAATTTGAAGAGGGGATGAGTGAGACCTCAACCCATCCCACCCCACCCCGCCCAACCTTGAGGCCCCTTTTAAAAAATACATCAGAAACCACAAAGACTTACCAAGGTCACTAAAGGATCATTATTTATTATTCTATTATTTATTATTCTAAATTCAGTGCTGGTCTTGAAGTGCTACAGCATCGCTTGTTTCCTGTCACATTAATTCTCTAAACAGTATTGGACTGAGATTATCTGTGATTATCCTAACAGCTTCCTTTATCAATTTAATCATAAAAATCTACCTTGTCCTTTAACTTGCACTCCAAATAGAAAGATCAGAAAAGGCAGGACTGTCTGTACTGTGACAAAGGTTCTTAAACGTTGGTGAGCTACTGAAATAGGACAGGGCTTGGGCTCGTGTATTTTCACTTTGTTCCGGGAATGATTGTGATACCCCCCCCAAAGTTTAGGGACCACTGCAATGACATCTTTTGTCTTGCTTCAGGGTAGGACTCCTAACATCTCATTTGTTCACGGACTATGAGGCTGCCCCCCTACCCCATGTCTGGGAGACTCTGCTCAACCCTCCTCTCTCTCTCTCTCTCTCTCTCATTCTGGGATTTGAGTTAGGATAATTTGAGGGAGAAAACAATTCGGGAATCAGAATCAAGACCTCTACATCCAGAACCTCCTGTCTTCCCAGGGACAATCTCATTCTATAAACAAAGCTCAATACCCGCCCCTCCCCATAGATAGCTCTACAAGACCTGCCTGGTCTCTAAGTCCAAGAAGAGAATGGGAAGCTGCCTGTACCATTTAGATCCAAGAGCTATGAGTTTCTAAGTCCTCCAAAAAGAGCAAAGTTCCACTGTTATTAATTACATCTAACAGAAGATGCGGTCTCCTGAATACCTTGCATGCAGTTCAGGCATTCTAGGCTCCCATACTTCTGCTCAGGTTTTATTAATACCAAAACCAGAAAAAGAAAGGCGAGTTGCTCTTTCCGACACAATCTCCACATGGGATCGTACCGAAACTATGAGCGCCGCGTACCTGTCTTGCTCTTCTTTCTCCAGTCGTTCTTGCTCCTCCTGCTCCTTCTGCAGCCGGGCCTGTCTTCTCTTTTCAGCCAGGATCTTTGCCGCCTCTCCTGCGTCAGTTGTGCCTGCTGTGGGCTTCCCCGAGACTGCACCAGGGGAGAGGCGGCAAGAGGAGAAGAGCAAGGGAAACAAACAGAATGATTCCACGCACACAGCAGCTGCCACATGGAAATGAAAAATCCAGCCCAGTGTGGTGATGGGAAACACTGCCAGCGCCAGCACAATCAGCCATGGAGCCAGAGAAGCGGCGACGGGCCAGCTGTGACCCTGGACGCATTGCACAGTGGGCGGCAGTGGAAAGGCGAGGAGAGACAGAGTCACTGGCACGTCCCACAGCAGCTACCACCTGGGTAACTCGCTGCATCACAGAAGCCTGGAGGACTGAAGGAAGACCCTCTCCCGTGGGCAGTGCAGATGCTGGCTGGACGCAGCCTGTCTTACTCTGCACCCCGTGTGCTTCCACAGCCACGAGTGGAGTTACCCTAGGGCTTCTCCAGGGGACCCTCAGGACACTGGGGCAAAGACTCAGGAGCAACGTACAAGCGTGAGAAAGCTGTGCAAGGAGATGAAGTTGTCCTCAGGGAAAAATTCCTCTCCCTCCCCTAAACAGGAGGGAATGGCACGTGGACCAGGTCACAGGGAGAACCGCCATGGGAAAGCCAAGGCCCGGTGGCAGCGCTGACAAAGGGGTCTACCTGTGCTGCTCTCGGCCTTCCCCGCTGCGGCGGCGTGCTTCTCGCTGGCCTGTTTGTCTGCCACATGCTTCTCTGGGGCTTCCTCTCCGGGTGGCCCGGCAGCCTGCTGAGCCAAGGCACCTTCCCTTTCCTTGTTGCTCTTCTCTTTCTCTGCTTTCTTCTTGGGTGTTTCTTGGCCGGGAAGGGCAGGAACGCGGTACTTCACAGGAGACCCTGGGTACGGTGGCTTCGTCATCTTTGGAGACGGTGGATATGCTTTTGAAGGTGTCCTGGAAAACCAAAAACATGCCGTAAGATGATTACTGGGCCTGACCACAGGACTCTCTGTTCCTAAGACAACTGGTTCTAAAGTGTTGAACAATTTTAGCCTTCCAGAGGCTCAAACAGAGGGCTTAGCACATGCTCAAAAGTCACTAAAGTACTTTCACCCTAACAGGAACGTATGGCATCTATAAGACGGCCCTGGTGGAAGGGGAGATATTTTAAGAAGCCAGGCTGGTGACGCCATGTGCTAACCTCACTTAGGTCTGAAGACAACGTAAAGAGGGACTGTCAGGCATTTCCCCACAACCTCTTTTTAGGTGAACATCAGGGTTGGATCTGGCTTCAGCATATGGTAATGAACAAGTTGGCTCTTTTTTTAAAAAATTGTGATAAAATACACAGAACACAAAATTGACCATTTTAACCATTTTTAAGTGTACGGTTCCATGGCATTAAGTACATTCACAGTGTAGTACAACCATTGCCACCATCCATCTCCATTAAACACGAACTCCCCATTCCCCCTCCCCCCAGCCCCTGGCAGCCATCCTTCTGCCCTCTGTCTCTATGAATCTGCCCATTCCAGTACCTCATGTAAGTGCAATCACACAGTATGTGTCCTTTTGCGTAGGGCTTATTTCACTTAGCATAATGTCTTCAAGGTTCCCGGTTCCTTTTTAAATGCTAAAGAACAAAGTTAGCAAAGAGATGGGGACAGGGGGTATCTTTTGGAGGTTCTCAGGTTTAAAAGAGTGTATCTTTCCTCCCTACTGGGCAGAGGCAAAAGGTGAGGCTATGCCATCCAGGGAAACACCACTTTGTTAAAATTGGGGCACTTGCATTATGTCTGCTGGGAAAAGGTGCATTATAGGTGCGCCAGCCTAGGCTCGGCTCTTGGTCAGTGCTGGTGGTTGGGGACGTAGGTAATAGCTTAGCTTGAGATGCCAAGTTTCTTCAGAGGTTTGCATAGGGATGCAGGCACCTGTACAGAGTTCCTCTAGGAAAGATATAAAATAATCTGTATATATAAATTACAAATTGTCACTTTCAATCCTGTAGCAGGTTGAACCATATGGAATTGCTAATTATGTTTTTGATCTATAAAAACAGCAATAAAAATAGCAACTCAACCTAATATTTAAAATCATTTTCTCACCAAAGGCTTAAAGGGTTACCCAATCAGATCTTGGTGGTAAGGATCAGATCAGTATTAAACTTGGTCACGAAGTAGAGAACAACCCTCAAGTGGCATGTGGACTGGATGAGACATAGGCCAGTTTTCCAGTGACACTATCATGTTAAAAGGCTGGCTCCTGGTGCCCAGGAGAGCACCTTCTCTCAGTCAATGCCAGGTGGAGGGTCACACAGTGGGGGGGAACAGGTGAACACTTGATATAATGAATATGTCTTTAACATGATCTGAATTTCTAAAATCCAGTTGTTTCAGTATCAACCATTTTAATGATGTCAAATCAGACTGGATCACAATTTCATAGCAAGCTGTCCACCCCTCCCATAGCAGTCTGGCTTCCCAGGAGAACAGCCCTAACCCCAGAAAGGATCTCTTCATACTAGATAAAGTGACTTCCCTATGTCACCATCCTGTGAGGCCTGGAGCAACCCAGAACCCCTGGGACATCTCATCCATGTGGATGGTGCTTTGACTCTCTGCAGGCTGTTCTCCCCTCTGCTCTTGGGCTCCCCTGGCTCAGGCCCCACGCTCAGGTTCT